ACTTCTACACCGCTATAATCTCGCAACAGAGCTCTATAGCTGTGTGCTTTGTTACTTGTGCTGTATTAAGAAGGCTATAGTTCACTTGTAACAGCATGAATATAAGGTGTTATATCTGCAGGCCGATATAACCCTTTAACAAATGTCTTGGAATTAAAATTTTCATTTAATTTTGTTAAAAAAAGAGTTAACTATATGATGGCTTTGGCTTTAAACTGGTTGCCTGTTATTTTAGAATTCTTAATATCTTTATATAGTTAGGCAAAACCATTTCACAAGTTGCATACTAATATTGCATAATCGTTAGGTAAAATTCTTGCTAAGTTGAAGTTGTAAAGTACTTTAAGCTTATTACTCTCTATTAGAGAAGTATATTTCCAACTAGTTGTTTCTTTCTCTTGCCAAAATTCAAAATAAATGTTAATTCTTTTCATTTTTTCAATAATTTCAAAATATTTGCTATCAAATTTTTTAGTGGCTTTAAGCTTTGCTATTACTAAAGACCATAATCGATCCCAAATATATAACAACAAATGAAGTTTATCAATAATTCAGTAATGTAAAGGAATTATAAAAAAGATTGGCTTTTTTATATATCCATCAATATTCATATAATTTTGGTTAATAGTATCGATATTTTTACTGATTTTTTAGTCTTTTTCAAAATTACTATTCTCATCTTTCTTACAGTTGCACTATAAGCAAAAATAATTAGCATTAGCTGTCTTGTATCTAAAACAAAGTGCAAACATCTTCCAATCTGCTGAAAAATACAAATAAATTTTCTATAGTCATTCTTGTTTATCAATAAATCCATTTTTATATCCTCTAAATCTAAAATCAAAAGTGCTAGTACAGTTTCTAAGCTTTCATATTTTTTTACTTTTGGATAAAGAACTAACATATAGTGATAATTAGGCTTGTGAATATTTAATAAATTATTTAAGATACTAAATATAAACATCACATGCTTTACTTTATGTTTAACATTGCGACCATCACTAGAGATTTGCAAGTAAATATTTTTTGACTCTAAATTTAATATTTTATTTTGTACTAATGTTAGAATTAGATATGCCAAAATGTCTTTAATTGATCTATATATGCCTTTTTCAACTGATTTTATGACTGATTTAACAATATTTTGATCATTAAAATGAATTTCTTCATCGATTATTTTAGTTGAATTATTTAATAAATTTGTTAAAAGATCAAATAAAGCTGTTTTTATTTGACTTGCTATATTATACATAAGTTGCTTTTTCACTTTAGAAACTGCCCATTCATGTGGCAAACTTTGACTAAAATTAGCAATTGTTCTATATGCAGATTGTAAGATTTTGCTAATATCTAGTGCTTTAACAACTGCTAATAAACGTAATTCTTCTATATTGTTATGAAGTTAATTATAAACAAATGAATAAGAATGACTATTAATAGTAAAATTCATTTCATTTAATATAATAACATCATCATTATGGAAAATAGTTTTTATTTGCTCTTGAGCTGCTTGATAAAATATAGTTTCTCCTTTTTTACTTCTATTTCATTGATCTGATTCACTTAATAATGAATATGGCTTTAAATTATGATTAACTTGTTTCATTTCTCGAATATTTTTTATTTGTTGTAATTGTAATCCAAATAAAAGAATTCTATTTCATTTTGTACCAGAAGTTTTTTTTGACTTTCTTTATTTGGATTTTTTTAGGTTTTGATTCGATAGTCTATTAAAATATAAATTTATTTTATTAAATTATTTTAATAATAACAAAGTAAAGTTTTAATATATATACTTTTTGATATAAATTTGCAGCTGCCAAAGGACTTTCTTTAGATTCTATATAATCAGTAGGTTTATCTCCATAAACAACTCGAAACTTTATATTTTTTTCACAATGATAAATTGAACAAATAACTGTTTTTTGGTTATTTTTTTCTATATAAAGTATGAACAATATAATTATCAGAGATTTTGTAGTTTTCAGGTTTTCTAGTATATAATAGTTTAGATTCTAGCAGGTATTTGCCTTCTAAAATAATTTTATATATTAAACTTTGATGTGAAGTTTTGTAGATTATTATAGGATTTTGTGGATATGTATTAGTTTCATACTCACATTTTCTTTGGTTTGTTTGTGTCATTTTAAAAACAAGTGTGTACATGTATGCAGTATAAAATTTAATTGTTATATAAATAAGTATATAAAAATTTTTAGTGTGTTTTTATTAGATCTTCAAATTTTAGAGTACTACGCTGATCCGCTGATATGTATTATTATTGACTGCCGATATTATTATAGACTGTCGATATTATTATAGACTGTTGATATTATTATATTTAAAAGGCTTTAATTCTATCAAAACTTATTATTTCATTTATTAGTATTCACTTTATTGTTACATTTTACCAAAAACTTTTATTTAATATTAATGTCAAAAGATTGTTCTCAAGAGTATCATATCAGTATTAAGAATTTTTCTATTATAAATAAAGTACCCTATTGCTATAAAATACTTAAAATAATTTATCAATTTTTAAAT